CTGATTTCCTGTCAAGTAATGCACATCTATTAGACAGAGCTGTCATTGCTTGAAATTTGACATTCCATGGGCGATGAGTTTTTTTTTAATAATACCACAATGGAGTCATTGTGATATCAGATAAGGAATGACATACATAGTACCTCATTGATGTATCGAACACAGTAAAACAAGAGCAATCATGTGTTATAGCCGTAGAAAGATTACTATTTATACATGAAAAGATCAATATAAAGTAAGTACCTACATATGTGGCGCGTAAAATTTGTTTAGTGTGTAGACCCCATTTCATCACCTTAAAAGCTCAGGGAAAACTCAGATTCTCGAGCAAATCGACATACAGTAGAGATGCAATCACTCACAAGGCACAGCAATAAAAATAAAATGTACACTTCCCAGTTTGCTATCGTCAATTCACACATACAACCTCTTCCACAGTTCCACACTATAGTTAATGGTATCACCTCGGGTATCACGTTGTCCACATTTCCGTCCATCCACTCTATCTGACTGTTTTTTGCCTTTCGAATCCAAAACGCACTGCACTAAAAATTTCGATACATGGACATTTATTGGCGCGACATTTAAACCGGCGATGACGAAACGACGCAAATTTATGTCCGTGTATACAGGGTGAGTCATGAGGAACTGTACATACTCCTACAACGAATAGAGGCCCTTGAAGGAAATACCTAATGACCATCAGAAAGTGTCTTCTTCTCTTCTTCACCAATATATAGGGTGATTCATGAGATTTGGCAAAAACATCTTTTGGGTATAACTTTTCAACAGCTCATTCGATTCGTCTTGATTTTTTCATGAAATATTCCTTTACTAAACTCTAATCGACTGACATTTTCAGAATCAGGAGAATCCAGGACCGTTTTTGAAAAATTTCGATAGTATAGTTTTTATCAAAAAGTTCATTCCTGTATATGGTTTTTGTAAACTGTGAATTTTCAAAGCAGACAAATAAGCATCAAGAATAAAATATTCAAAATTCTCCTCACACTTTCACAGGATTTTTTAAAAAATTATAAATTATAAGCAAAAACGGAAGTTTTACAACAAATTTATTCATGCGAAAATAATTACTTCGCAACACATTTCCAATGCTTTAGCTCAATGGAAAACACCATGTTCTTTCATTTCCAGAACTGAATTTCGTCATTTCATTTTTTGCGGAGGGAATTAATCACCCTGTAGATCTTTTTCAAATCAGTGGATGGGGTATCTGTTTAGATGTTAAGGGACATCGCTTCAGATAATTCGAAATAGTTGCACAGAAAATACAGGTTTATTCACAATTATTTTTCAAAAGCTATACTGACAAAGGCGAATAATAATTATAGTACATAAAATAAGTGACCAAATTAACTGAATAAAACAAATCCAATATAGATAAAGCTGTGAATTGAAATCATAAAATTATTCATAGCGATGACCATCAACATTTTCTCAGATACCCCATCCACTGATTCGAAAAAGTTTAAGTTCATGTTTAAATCTAACCTAAGATCCTATGTTAAAAATTCTTATAATACCGAATAAAAAAAAATACAGAGCTACTTGTAGATACTTAATGAATATTTGAAATGAAATAAATGGGATAACAAGATCTATGACAGAATGCTACGTATTGCAATTTTGGAAGTACCTATACATAGATAAATGAAATATGTGCACATCAAAATATAAACTGTTATAAACGCTGAACATTCTGTGTATAGGGGAATTTTGACACGAATTAGTTCTGGAAAATGGTTCACTGAATAGTTGATAGTTCCTCAAGTTTCGGGAGGGTGTTGTGAAACATACTTTACGAGATTATTCAATATTTTGAAAAGAAAAATCATATCTCTCCTAACCCTAGAGTGATAGGAGTATGTACAGTTCCTCATGACTCACCCTGTATGTATTGTGGCGCTGCGTAAACAAGACGCCAGACACCTTTTGCGTTGCGATTAATCCGCTCTCTTGCATACGATTTGCCGAAAATAGACGTGTTTGGCGGTCGCGGATGTCCCAATATTAATAACGGTAAAAGTTATGAAAAGAAAATCGGCGTTCAGCTTATTTGTAAGATAATGAGTGCTCGATGCAGAAGCAGAGATATTATTGAAGTGTCGAACGGTCTGTGACTAATCGAGATAAACACACAGCCTTGCCCATGTTGTACAATGTAAACATCGAAAGTAAATTCCATCAAGTTTTACTCCGAAAAAATGACGAATAGGTATTTGGGAATTTTATTTTAAAAAATCTGCGATCCTTCTGTCGGCTAAATCAAATAGACGAATCGTACCCATGCAAAGTCCACTCAGGTATGCCTATAGACTGATCATCATCTTCGAGAAACGCACTTGAATGAAAAAAAAAATTAAGGATATAATGCTCTGACACTAATAGTAGATTGTCTTGTTAGGATCAAAAGTGACACTTTGTTTGACAAGCGAATTTTGCATTTGCGAGGCGGAGCGTCTAGCGAAGCCGAGAGCATATACGTATTGATAAACAATACGGATCATAACGGGTGCCAGGATGAAGCCAAAAATATGAAACAAATGAATATCCATATGGATTTGGTGGCATGATACGCATGCGCCATGCGCTATTATAGTAGTCATCAAAGACATGCGTTTCGGTGGACAATGACGTTTACTAGCCTTTCAATCAAAGCAGTATGTGTCTGATCGTTATCTCACTCTTCCTTATGGATAGTCATTTGTCTTCAAAAATCGGCTTCATGTTTCGCTATGGAAACAGATAGAGATTATCCGTATTGATTATTAATACGTATATGGCCGAGAGAAGCAACATATTCGCATGTGCGACTTGTTTCATGATGTGCGCATGCTCAGTTTTAGGTTCCTTGAACTACAACGTTGCCAGATTTACAGAAGGGTTATTGATAAAACTATTTTAATCGAGATTAGACTAGATATTCCACATGTTTTGTACTGAGTTGTGTATGAACATGAATACTGTGCCACTATTTTGTATCTGGACTGTATCAGAATTTGGATCCGATGAAAAAGTTAATTGATTACTATCAGGTAAGTTCGTCAACCATGTCACTGATTCATGATGACAAATGACATTGGTCATTGTCATTCGCGTTTTGCAGAGACGGTTACAGTTTTGAGTTTTCATTATACTTTTTCGATAACGATTTGTCAGATTATCTACATCGTTCTTGTGCTGATTATCTATCCAGAATACAAGAGTTTTGATAGTTTTTGTACATGTGTGTTTGAAAGCTTATAAGTTCAGAAAATGCTGCTGGCTTTTTGTACAATCTTAATAAGCATAAACAATGAGTTCTTGTTAAGTGTTATGGTGGTAGAACAAGGGGAATAGCACTGGTGTGTTCATTATCTCTCGTAATTTACTAGGTTTATGTTTATTGGGTTTTTGATGGAAACGTGCTTATCGAATTTTGGATCGACTAATACAAGACAGAACTCTTGGAGAAACGTTCTGGGAAGAGATTCCACAAGAGAAGTGCTATGTTGCTATTATTGATGAAAATGCTATTCGCAGTAAAAATTTCCGACAAAAAGATAAAGGTATAAAGCGAAATGGGATGTATGTAAAATCAAATTCAGTGCCACCATAACTGTACCTGAAGATCTGATTATATTCATCGTGATAGGTTAGTTTAAATTGGAATATTATCATAGAATAGGCACTTGTGTAGAGAAGAATGTAATGGTCCTGTTGATTGAAACAGACCAATTTTTGAATCATTGTTTATGTAAGTTCAAACGTTGTTCAAATTTTCCTAATTCAGTACAATGATTTTCCTCCATAAGAATAATAATTCTGCACATGCGCATTGGCGATAGGCCCATACCTTTCACCACAATTCGATCTATTTCATTGGTTATTGTCAGTATTATGTAATATGATTTCTATGGTTCACATTCACTGTTTTCAGATCCAACCCTGAGTGAGCCAACAAAAGATTTAGACACATGACACGCCAAGGTCCGTTACCTATAACGTCTGTGAACTACATTATCTTGGTAGGTGATCTAAGTCAGATTTGAGTGATCCTTTAGGTGATTTATTTGGATCGGGATGGTGACCTGCAATAAGTTTCCGAATGCCTAATGGGTACTATATTTTCTAGCCTGCGCACGAGCTGTCGAAGTTTCATATCCTGTTTGGATAAGGTTTGTTCGTGTTCCAAATAGGTGAAACGGTCCTTGGACTGCGCAGAATCAGGTGCGCATCAAATTAAATCCGAAACAAGTCTGGGAGAGTTGAGAAACCAGATAAACGAACACGCGTTTTCTAGTTTCATCACCTTAGTTCTCGAAAATTATATGCTTGATTCTTGTGGATCAAGGGTATATTGAGGTTAGAGTTATGTTGAAGTTGACATGAGATAATCCTGAAATTCATGACCTGAACATAAACCTCCTTCAATAAAATATTCCTACACTTTTACACCTAATAAAAATGATCACTGAATTCTTAATCCGAGTACAGATTCATTCAACTACCATTCTCCAGATTGGTCTTGAGGATTTCCATAAAAAAAAATTATCAAAAACGTTTGTTATCATCTGAACTTGAAGAGGACGACGAGCTGAAGCTCATATGCCCATTGTTCATAATCTTGATTGCATTTTTTCAATAGTTCTATTCTTCATCTTGTTCAAGAGTGTATCGCTTAACTAAGAGAGCTTATGAAGGTTAAAAATCTGTGGCACATACGCATGCGCATCAAAAATTATTCACGACACTCATGGGCAGTTCTTGCCCAGAGGCTCGTACTGCTTTGGACCGATTCGAAACAAAAAGACATGATCTGTGGAATTCGAAACAGTCCTGAGAAGAAGCGAACACCTCTTTTAGTCACTGTGATACTTCTGATGGTTTCGGACTGTTCATTTGGTGAACGTGAACAAACCTATATAGATATCGCTGGCTGGACTTCTTTCCGAAGTCTGACCACTACTCACTTTCCGTTCTACTTCTAGTTGACTTACCTTGATCCTCTTATCGGAGCCGGTTTTCTTGAGCGGCGGGGGCGTCGCGACGGACGTCTGACTCTTATCTACCTTGCCCTGAGACAGTTTCCGTAACGGAGGTGGTAGCCATTTGCGCCTACAAAGGTAGAAAACAGTAAGTGTTATGAAATCAAGCACATCCGAAGAAATGATGGATTAGGTTGACGAAATGTCACATATCAGTTTCATGAAGTGATAACTCGTTAGGGACTTTCTGGGATGGGAGTAGAACGAAAAACTCGCGTCACGGTCACCGTACCATCGACGGCGGCTGGTAAGGAAATCAGAGGTGAGAATCCAAAGAGATAAGGAAACCGAAGAAGGAGAGAAACCAAAGAAAGAAGTAATCTAGACAGGAAAGAAATCGAAAGAATGCAGGAATCTAACTTTCTGGGATGGGAGTAGAATGGCAAACTCGCGTCACTGTCAACGTAAAATCGACGGTGGCTGATGAGGGTTCCCGCGTCCTCTCTCGGGTCAGCGCCAAAGGAAACCAAAGAAGGGAGGAATCCAAAGAAATAAGGAAGAAGAAGTAAGGAAACCAAATAAGGAAGGAATCGAATGAAGGAAACCAGAGAAGGAAGGAATTCAAATAAGTAACGAAACCAAAGAAAGAAGGCATTCAAAGAAGTAGGGCAACCAAAGAAGTAGGGCAACCAAAGAAGGAAGGAATCCAAAGAAATAACGAAACCAAAGAAGGTAAGAATCCAAAGAAGTAAGGAAACCAAAGAAGGAAGGCATTCTAAGAATTAGGAAAACCAAGAAGGAAGGAATCCAAAGAAGAAAGGAATCCAAATTAGGAAGAAATCCAAAGAAAACAGGAATCCAAATAAATGAGAAAACCAAATAAGGAAGGAATCCAAAGAAGGAACAAATTCAAAAAAGTAAGGAAACCAAATAAGTGAAAAAACCAAATAAGGAAGGAATCCAAAGAAGGGAGCCAAAGAAGGAAAGGGAGGAGAGGAAGGGATTCAAAGAAGTAACAAAAGCAACGAAGTTAATAATCCAAAGATGTAAGGTAACCAGAGAAGAAAGGACCCCAAATAAGGAAGGAATCCAAAGAAGTAACGAACCCGAAGAAGGTAAGAATCCAAGGAAGTAAGAGAACCAAAGAGGGAAGGCATTCAAAGAAGAAGGGAAACCAAAGAAGGAAGGATTCCAAAGAAGGGAGGAATCCAAAGAAATAACGAAACCAAAGAAGTTAAGAATCCAAAGAAGTAAGGAAACAAAAGAAGGAAGGCATTCAAAGAAGTAGGGAATCCAAAGAAGGAAGGATTCCGAAGGGAGGAATCTAAAGAAATAACGAAACCAAAGAAGGTAGTAATCCAAAGAAGTAAGGAAACCAAAGAAGGAAGGCATTCAAAGGAGTAGGGAAACCAAAGAAGGAAGGACCCCACAGAATGGAGGAATCCAAAGAAATAACAAAACCAAAGAAGGTAAAAATCCAAAGAAGTAAGGAAACCAAAGAAGGAAGGTATTGAAAGAAGTAGGAAAACCGAAGAAGAAAGAAATCCAAAGAATGAAGGAATATAACTTTTTGGGATGGGAGTGGAACGGCAAACTCGCGTACTATCGACGCCGGCTGGTGGGGGTTGGTCCTAGGCACACCAGTTTTTTTATTGTCAGTCAAGCTTAATCAGTTACATTTTTTAGGTAGGTAGTGTTAAGGTTAAGTTGATTGTTTAATTGTGATGTTATATCCAATATGCTGCAAACTAGCATAATTGAAAAAACAATTATTTGCTTTCCCATTTTATTATGTTTTATTTTGATTGATTAGGTCAAGGAATATATCCACCAAGTTTCAATTTATAACACATTCTCTGACCAGGCTAACCACGTTCATTGGGTATTGAAACGCGACCAGATCGATCAGTCACATGATTAGACTAAAGGCTGAGTTAAAAGAGCAGCTTAACGATTCCAATAAGTTCAACATAGGTCCAACCTTCAACTTAACGTTACCTTAGTATTTGGTTAAGTCAGTAAGTCTATATATTTGCCAATTTGTCATAATAATATACTTCTCTCCTGATATCTCATAGAAAGAACGTAAATCAAGATATATCGATTTCCTTATCTATTAAAGATACAGGGACAATTCCGAAACATGTCAATAATTGTTTTAGAACAACATAAAGTTGAGTGGAGATAACGAGTTTTCTTTCTATAACTAAATATACCGCTCAGCAGGATTTATAACGCTCTTCAAGATGAAAAATACCATTTTACAGGAAAAATCCCTGTAGTGTTTTTGTTAGAACTTTTTTTCATGAAAAAGCTAACTAGGTCAACAATATAGATAAAAGTTCAATACTTAGCTATGAAATATTTCAAATAAACAGTGCCTCACATTTTGTATCGCATTTTTATAGTTCAACCCTCTCTCCCATGTAAATGAAAAACTATGAAAGATATATGGCGGTACCCTTCTCTGAACTTATAGAGGAAGGAAGATATGAAAAACTCTTATCTATAAGCGAAAAACATGTATCGTAAAACATATGATTCGTTTCAAAATGAATTGGGGTTAATTCTGACTGTCACAAACTATAGAAACGGAGAGTGAAAAATTTTTTTGTATTACATTTTTGACATGACAACACAGATATAACATTATAATATTTCAACACGTTATCTGTTAAAAATATGCTATTATTGACTGTATTGTTTTCATTCAATATCTGCGATACCGTTCACTGGATATTCTCAGAACATCTAATCAAGCATAAACCACCAACCTACAAATTGATTGGGCCACTTCGTGTTTCTATCCATTGAATATTTATAGCTACTCAAAAAATTGTATCTAGCCATCTGACATTTCTGACTTCTATTGACCTAGGGTCCCTTGATGCAAACTGACGTATTTGTCATCTAACAGGGTACGGACAGATCATAGCTCCTTTCTCTTTTAATCACCTAGTGACAATTTCGTGTATTGGCGTCCCTGACATGACATTGCTGTCACGTAGGTAACATTCATAGGCGTTAAAAGAGATCTTACAAAATTTTAATTATATGCTTTATCTTAATACGACATTATTCAATTATGTTTTGGAAGGATGCTAAAATGTGCTGCGTTAGGCTGTATCAATCAGTTGGATGGCAAATTTGAATTTGTCAGCTTTCCATCAAATGCAAATGAACGTACAACATGGAACGTGAAGTGACCGAATGGGGAAAATTTGGTAAATACATCAGCAAAATATTCGAGGTGAAAGTAATACGAAATCACATATTATAATTTCTCATTGTGCCTATATAATTATCCACTACACAAGTTTTTGAATGCATTTTAGTAAAAACAGTTTGGATACCTACATACAATTTTTCACCATTTCTCTCTCTCAACCATAAGGCTTAGTCTGAAATCGAAATTCATTTATTGATAGGTACTGCCTAAGAACAATCGCATTTGATAAAACGAATTAAACTTTCAAAAAAATTTGCTCACTGCCTCACGAACATTATGCTGGAGTTGGAAAAACAAACACTCGAAAACTATCATCATCATTTGGATATAATATGTAGAGTTGAATGAGAAATTACATGTGGAAATTACGTATGATACGCCAATTGATAAAAAAAAACACTCCAGAGTGAGAGGATCTGTCCGTAATGACAAATACGTCAATTTACATCAAGGGACCCTAGATTGACCAAGAGGAAAATAATGAACATGTATGCACCTATAAATTGATTTTGTTCCAGTTTTTAGAATTCTTAGGAAGGAGAAAATGAAAAACTAAAAGTTCCTTATGTTATTCGACATGATAGGAATATATATAAGATTTTTTTTATCGCTTGGAGCGCACGGAAGGGAATCCCTATAATTGAAATATTCATTGTCTCATTGAATGTTTCCACCCAGTTGCCTGTATGCGATAATATGAGTCATCATTCAGTTAAGGTTATCTAATTATTAAATATTTTGTTAGGAATTCCATCTTCCTGTACGAAATATGTTCATAATATGTCTAGAAAAATTGGAAATCTCTCTCCCTGGACTGACATTTTCTAATAGAACGGTCAAATTTGCTAGAAAATGGATAAAAACAATTTTGAGCGACTAGTACTTCTCAAGGAATAATTTCCAGTAAATATGTATTTTTCTTGAGAATCGACTCCAGAGAGATTTAAGTGGAGTCTAGCAACACCCTGTATAGTAGTAATCGAGGGCTCAGATCGATAAGATTACCCTCAAGTAGCAATAATCGATATTATAGAAAGAAAAAAAAAATCTCACTTTTTCTCAGAAATATCCGTGAAACTATCTTGAATTCCATTGCACTGATTCTTCAATTTTCTACACCCGCACAAGTTCCTGCACAATTTTCTCAATTTCGCCATACTTCATTTCTATGTTCGAACATGATAGAAGGCGTTCGTCATGATGCGAAAAAAACACGAGATTTGGGTTATCTTGAACAAACAAGATAGTGATGAGATATGAATTCGAAGAATATTGGAAAGGTAAATATGACACCAAGTAGTAATATACAGAGTCGTGTTCTTCATCTTTAAAATTGTATAATGTTCGACTGTTCGATGAAGTGCAGTTTTCCGCAAAACGGTGCTTGTAGGAGCCATGAAGTGATGAAGAAGTAACATTATTTATACCCAGGGGATATGATTTAATTAGATTTTTTTTCAACTAATTATCCTTAAGAGTCTATCAATTGCAACCAGTTGAATATTTTTTTATCAGAATAGGTGAAATTAGTGACATTAGGTCAAAACATATTCAAACTACTTATATGATTGAATTCATAATGGAAAAACTTTCAGAATCTGTGCACAAATAACCAGGACAGTATTTAAGAAATATAAGTTGACAATGATTCAACGAATTCGAAACGTTGGGTCATAGAGAAATCAATATCACCACGTTAAATCTCACAAAAAGTTGCTACGGAAATTACGGAAAGGTATTTTCATTCAGTTGTGTCTCCAATAATATCGTGAAAAAAATCAGAATAAATAAATAGATTTTCCAAATCCGCTTTTCTCGATATAACCGAAAAACTATGAATAACTTTGAACATTTTCGAAGCCTGGTGAAATGAATGCGTAACTTTTTTCTCACCCTACCAA